ATTTTTTATTGAAAATTCACGATTTATTCTCAAATGTTGGCTTAATAAAACACTGTTTATTTCCTTAGGGTTATTCCTCTCTCTGATCTCATCAAAAACAAAAACACAATGAGAAAATGTAGTTCTTCTTCCTCCATTGGCGCTTATTCTTCCTCACGTGGCGCTTCTTACTCGCGTGATCCTTCTCCTTTCGATGTCTATGTGCTTTGGGACTACGAAAACTCCCGCATATCCTATCTCAATATTGAAAGGGCGAATCGAAACGGCTTTGAAGGAAAAGGATCCTCGTATCGCATAGAAGGGAAGATTGAGGCTATCAGACCGGCTTATGGCCACAAATATAACGAGATAATGTCACAATCCGATGATTTCAATCATGTTACATGTAGGAAGAAAAACCACATTTTCTCATTGTATTTTTGTTTTTGGTGAGATCAGAGAGAAAGAAGAACCCTAAGAAAATAAACAGTGTTTTATAAAGCTAACATTTGAGAATAAATCGTAAATTTTCAATAAAAAAAATAATAAAATATGTAATTTTGCAGTTAAAAATTAAAGAAATTAGCATGTATGACTATGAAAAAAATATATCTAATAATCTAACCAAAGGCACCTATGTGGCCAATTTCCAATTACTAAATTTAAGGTTTTTAGTTAGATTATTTGATAACATTTTTTTTTTGGTTATACCGTACAACAACCAATTGACTCTGATAGTTATAATAAACAAATAAAATAATAGAAAAATAGAAAAATAAAAACTAAAAATCTGATGTTAAAAAAAAAAAAAACTAAAAATCATTATGGCCCAATAATGAATCATTTTAAGGGCCCAAGAAAGAAGAAATCCGAAGAACGGGGAAACAATCAGATCGGAGCGATGGAGAGTGGTCTGATATCGGTGGTGGACCGGTGGAGAAATGGAAGTCAGTCTTGTCTTGACTCATTTCACTCCGATCACACTCGTGGCATCTCCGGCGATTGGTCCCATGGACCTCTCTACTGTTCCCGCACCACCGCCTCTCTGTTTCCTTCCCGATTCCCCGGATTCGACCTCTCATTGCTTCACGTCGTCCCTCTCTCTTCCTGGCGATCTCTCTCTCTCCGATCTACTTCCTCCTACTCCGACGTTCGCCTCCACTTCATGGCCATCGACGCCCACCACTGTCCCGGTACGATCATGAACATATGACTTTGCATGATGTTTAATTGAAGGATGTGTAGTGTGGAATTTGAATATGATTCACTCGAATCATCACTGTAGTGTTTGATGGAATTGATTATGTGGTTTGGTTAGGGTCCGTGATGTTCTTGTTCCGGGGAGATTTCGGATGTTTTCTCTACACTGGAGATTTCCGGTGGGAATTGGATCATGTAGAAGACGAAGCAAGGACCACTCTCGTTGCTGCGATTAACAAATTCCCAGTCGACATTCTTTACTTGGATAATACTTATCGCCATCCGATTTACACTTGTTTTCCTTCCCGTCAAGTCGCTGCACATCTGGTTCGTCTCCTTGACCATTTCCTACTATTTCTCAGTAGTTCCCATTCGTCTTTCTCTTATTGATATCATTCATCTCTTTCCTTGCAGGTTGCTGATATCATCATAGGAGTTGACACTTTGGGAAAGGAAGACCTTCTTGTTCATGTTTCTCGCATCCTTCGCATGATATCATCATAGGAGTTGACACGAGGTTAGGTTTTCTTCACTGTTCGATATGTGTCCTCAGCATCCTTCTTGCTTTGTTTTGCTGTTGAAATCCAGTACTGAGCGAAATCTTTTGAATCCCACAAATGGATTTAACAGTTGATGTGCCTTGTGGTTTCTTGTTTGTCCTTAGATTTTGGTTTGGCCAGAGCGACTGCCTACCATGCATCTCCTTGGGTTCCAAGACATTTTCACAACTGATACATCTTTTACAAGAGTACAAGCTGTCCCTCGGTACAGTTTTAGCATTCACACACTCGAGGGGCTGAACTTGATGTGCCCAACCATCGGCATCATGCCTTCTGGTCTCCCATGGGTGAAAAGACCTTTCAAAGGAGATGGCAAACTCTCTGGTTCTCTTCTGACTGCAACCAAGTATGAAACCATTCGTGGTCAGAAAGAATTACAAGCCGCGGTGCATCATTTCCATGACTATATGTATTCGGTGCAGTACTCTGATCATTCGTGCTACGCGGAGATTGGAGAGTTTATAAAACTCATGAAGCCAAAGAGCATGAAAGGAATTGTGGTTTCATCATCTTGTTATGTTGAGCCTCTCTACTATTTTGGGCATATCAGCGGAGCTAATCAACTGCCAGAGTTGCTGCCTTTGAGGTCCGACACCACCACAAAGCAATTTCAAGCTGTTAGGATCAAATCGTATTCTGGAATGGACAAGGGGGTAGTGTCAGAGAAAGAAAAAAAGGTGGAAGAGAGATTGTCATTCAAGTTTCATCATAAATGACGGGACAGGATTGAATCGAATTGTGTACCGTGCTTCGAAAGGCCAATCATCAATGACGTTCGAGCACGACCTTATCTAGTTGATAGTACATCCGGGAGGCGTGATCTTCAAATGGTACTTCGCTTCGTTTCCTCTCTCTAATACTAATGGTTTTTAGGCTGGTTATGTGCTTATGTTGTGTGACCAATTACCAGAAGTTTACCGAACACTTGGCGAGAATTACAGTGAGAAAGTTTTGCCTTTGATCATCCAGGAGACCTTGAAAGCTGTGGTTGCTCAGTACAATGCAAGCTAGCTTATTACTCAGAGAGAGGTTAACTAACTGGCTGTAAATTAGTGTTATCGTTTCCTCTTAATGATATTTTACATTTTAACCGATTAGTTTTTGGTTATCTTTTAAGGCGGTGAGTAGGGAAATCAGGAAAATCTTAACTGAACGAGCTGCAAGCTTCAACATTGCCCTGGACGATGTGTTCATCACGGGCTTGGCCTTTGGAAGGGAGTACACGGCAGCAATAGAAGCAAAGTAGGTGGCGCTCAAGAGGCCGAGCGGGCCAAGTTCATTGTGGAAAAGGCCGAACAGGACAAGAGAAGTGCTGTTATCCGCGCTGAGGTGGAGAAAATG